CTCTCTTTCGCTCTCGCTCTAGCTCTCTCTTTTGCTCTAGCTCTCTCGCTCTCTCTTTCGCTCTCGCTCTAGCTCTCTCTTTTGCTCTAGCTCTCTCGCTCTAGCTCTCTCGCTCTAGCTCTCACGCTCTCTCGCTCTCCCACTCTCGCTCTCTTTCTCGCTCTCTCTTTCGCTCTCTCGCTCTCTTTCTGGCTCTCTCGCTCTTTCACTCACCCTATCTCTCTCTTTTTTTATTTCTTCCATCGAGAAAGGTGTCATCGAGTTAATTCGAACGATCTCGAATACGCAATCGACTATACATTTCTCTGAACACGATCTCAATATAATCCGTGATCGTTTTGCTTTATCTTACAAAACATCCATTATAGTCTGGCCGCTTTTGGATAGAGAGACGCGCGTTCTACTTTGACTGCGGGTGCTCGAAAATGTTCTGTCCTTATTTCTTTTTGTTTCAGATCGCCTCAAATCACAACTAATTCGAACAATTTATTGATTACGCGAAAAGGCAAACGTTTACACACCTCGACTATTTATTACTTTATTTTTGGTATATTTTGTTTTGCTTCGTTCTTTTCCTTTTTTCTTTCTTTATCTACCTTGTGTTTTGTCACACGCGCGTGATCGACGAAAGAAAAAGAGACACGCGCGGCTCTGTCGCCAACAGCGCGCCTTTCATAAATATTCTGTACAACATTATAATTATTATAAATCATCAGTATGTCTTATATAGAGTCTTACCGTTATATCATTATTATCGGTAGTGTAAAATTGAAACTTTTACGTACTTATGTAGATTAGATTACCGTCAACCGGCGGTCACCCGCCCGCTTCCGTTATTTTTTATAATTATTTATTTACTATTTTTTCTTTATTCTGCTCTTTTAAATCGATACATAATCGTATGATTTTCTTTATTTCTTTAGTATGCCGTACTATACGTATTGTAATCATTTACGATTAGTAAGAATATGTAAAATCGGTATTTCGTCTTAGTTCATGGTTTTGCTCATTTAATTCAATAACTCTCATTAAGCATCCACATAATTGTTTAATATACATGGAATTAAAAGTGACTTATTTATTGCTTGTTATATTGCATGTTTCCTCATCATAAGCTGTACCATGCCTCCGAGCTTCCGTTTCATTTTTACTTTTTCTTTTTTTTCTTGTTTTTCATCCTTCTGCCATTCAACGCGTCCGCCATTGCTTTCGTGTGGATCGCGGGGTGTCGTAAAAAATATCTTAAAAAGTTTTTCGTTCCATTACAACAAAATCGCGACTATGTTTCATTAGTTCGACGATCGTGTGTTGTGTGTGTGTGTTGCGTTGGTGTGTATTCTCTGAGTGCGCGCACGCGCGCGTGTGTGTGTGTGTGTATGTTGCGAGTGTGTATGTAACGAGAATTCTCAGGCTCCCGGAATTCATAACATGCCGTGTACACGGAACATACGGTTGTTCTCACAACGAACAAAAAAAAATATATGAACAAAAAATAAATATGTAATATCACAAAAGTAAGAATCACGGTAACTCGGGTGAAGCGAGTGCTCGATAGTTCGTAGAACGTTAGTTGCTTCTTGAATTGTTTCTTTGTTTGTTATTCTTTTTTTTCATCTCACACATGCATACAATAATCACGATGCGGTTCCCCGTAAAAATTTCGAATCGATTTAAAATTGCTTCTCAGACTTCTTTCTCTGCTCTCTTAATTCGTATATAACGAGTTCCAAGAGGACCGAATATATACTTGTTTTCCACCGTTATCTTGCAGAAGACGCGAATGAAATTGTGCTCGTGTAATTCGGTGCGTTCGTGTGTACGTTCACGTGGTTATTTGTTTCGTGCCCGCGAAATGTTACCGAACCGAGAAATCGAAACAGAAAACAATGGTACGACTCATCGTCTGATACGTCGCGACTGGCTTGTCCTCATTCGTTAGAAACAAAAAAACGACGAAGTAACTTCGTGTCTATAAAATGTCCCGGTGATGTTACAGCACTGGACTACGAAACAAATTTTAGATCTTTTGGATCGGCTTGATATGTTAATCAAAAATCAAATCGAGCAACTGCTGCCAAAGGAACGAAGATCTTATGTTATTTATTATTGCTTCCCTTTAATGTGGATTACGCAAACGGATACCGAACGTTCACCGTAAAACTGGAGCATAACAGCATAAACGAGGGACAAAAGAAGAGACGTCAAGATAACGATAAGTGTAAAGAAAGCACGATTGCGTAACGCACGGGCGAATTGGATATCATAATAGAAAGGGAAACGTTTCGTAAATTAATGCAAAACGATGATTAAATTAGCATGACAGATTTGATTGACATTATGAAAGCGTTTGGTTTATGGTCGACACGTTCCGACCACGGAGACATGATCGAAAACTATGCAACTCTTCGAACGTGCTTTGATAGTCGGTTTGGCGGTCGAGAGACTAACATTTCCCAATAGAAGAAACGATCGTTTTACGCAGATAGTTTAAATCGCAGTAGTGAAAATCGGATCGATTCGCAGAATTGGAGTGCGGGACAAAACGTTAGAGCTTTCGGTTTCAGATGATAAAGATGGTGAGAACTGGAGGAACAGGGGTTGAGGTAAAAAGTAATTTTCTAACGGGTGAGTTGCGAATGAGACCACGTTATGGTGTACGACGGTTAGCAAAACTTCATCGAAGCTCGTGGCTGTTATCCTTGTTTGCACGCAGGAAGAATATTAACAGATTACATGTAACTGCGCATCCGAACATGTGCACGTGTAATTACATGATTAATATACTTATCATAATATTTATGCTCTTTTTTGCGTGCGCATATATATATATATATATATATATATATATATATATATATACATACATATATATATATATACATATAATATGTTATATACATACATATCGTATGGGGTTACGTTCACGTTACATTCAGCCGCGGCACGGTTGGATCGCTCGACCGTCGTTCTTTTTTTTATCGATTACCTAAAAAAACCGGTAATGATTATTCGGTAAGCGTGTCGGGCCACGCTGACTTATCAAACGGGTTCGGTTCTCGTGAAACGGATGTATGGCTGCCGGCTCGCGGAACACATTTTGCTATAAAACTGTTGTCGCGATCGCCGTCACGTTGGAAATACGGAAATACTCTCGTTGACAGTTTCGACGTATCGTGCAATCCGATCGTGCCGCGTTCTCAGTAAAAACTTTGAAAAAACGAAGTCATCTCAAATACAATGACAATTGTATTCGTAACACAGCGATTATTGCATTCCGACAAATAGCAAATCATAAAGGACGTATTGTGATAATACTATCCATTCGTAACGTTAATCCTAAGTAATGAACAATAGTGATAATAATCCTTACAATACATAAGTCAACAGAACAGAAAAACAAAAATAATAATATCAATAATAATAATGATAATAATAATGATAATGATAATAATAATAATAATAATAATAATAATAATAATAATAATAATAATAATAATAATAATAGAAGTAATAATGATAATATTAATAATAATAATAAACGCGTGAGCATCGTTGGCTCACATGTTCCCTTGACGCGTGAATTAACGTAATTCCTAAGTAGGATCCTTTACCCTACATCTTGGCTGCGACGTTTCACTCAAGAAAATCGTACGGAGAATTACGATCCTGCTCGATCGATTATATTACAATTGATTCGAAACCCAACCGATGAAATCGTGTTCTCGCACGTGGAACGTTTTCCTCTACTCACGCGGTTTCGCCACTGAACAAGCTCATGAATGAACGGAACCAAAGACGTCGGCAAACCCCGACCGCGTCACGAGGAAAGACGCTCCCAAGGGTCGTGTCAAGTCGCAGCAAGATTCG